TCAGAGTATACTTGGTAAATATGGAGAAGGAACAAGAAGGTTTTAACCATTTTCTACAGCAGACCATCTTCATAGTCACAACTGACTGAGAGCTACAGGGAATGTAAGATTCCAATGTATCTATTCTTTATTAATTTCAAGAAAGTGTGACTCAGAAGAAAATGTAGCCAGTCTTAATGTAGCACATATCACACAATGAACCTCAGATGACTTTGGGCATCTAATTGCTTTGTATCAATATCAAAATGAGTCATGAAAAAGGGAGATAAGTGCTCATCTGAAGTATTTACTAGAGTGAAAAAGGATGTCCTAAGCAAGGTCTGAATAGAAGAGGGCATCTTTATGATGGCAAAATTCTCCACATGTTCCCATTTACTGATGATGTTGTACGAATTTGAATCAAACCCTGGTATATACTACACAAAGCCTCCTTGATAAAAATCTATAATTATTCAAGACATTGTTCTAAATAATCAACTAACAACACTCGAAAAATCAGAGCAGATGAAAAATGTGTAGTACCAAGATTATGAAATGTAGCTGGATGTGGTCTCCTTCATGAGAATGTAAGCTCCTTGAGGGCAAGGACCATGTTTTTGTCTTTCTTTGTTTCCCCAGTGCCTGGCATATAGTAAATGCTTAATACATGCTTACTGATTGGCTGACTGATTGGATGGGCAGCCCACTGAATTAGTCCAGTGGTCCATAGGTAGTGGACAAGAGCTACAGATGAATAATGTTCTGGGCCCAGAAGTAGAGGAAATTAAGCTGAATTACATTTGGGAAATTGTGCCATCTTTTCAATGATCCTAAGTTGCCAATTGCTGTAGGAGTCCATATTTTTTAACACCAATGTTTTCTTGGTGATGACCCATTGTTCCTAATCATAGATCACCATGACGTCAGTAAGACAAAAACTATCAAGTATCCCAAAAAGGAAATGAAAGCTGTGTAATGGGCTAAAGTACATTACCTATAATGACTTGAACCAGTGTTAGTAAGGACGTGGATACCTAGAAAAGAAGATAGATGGGCAATGTAGGGTCCTCGGTAATCCCAGGATGAATGCTAAACTGACCCTAAAGAAACATTGAAGCAATTAGAGGAAAACTTCTAGAATACTGGGTGAATGCCTCTCAGAGAATAAAGGACAAGATCATACAGGACAGAAAGATGTTAAAGGGCTGTGGTCTATTTAGCTAGAGGGAGAAATCACAGGTTCATCAAGTTAGTCAAGTAAGGAGAAATCACAGGTTCATCAAGTTAGTCAAGTAAGGAACACTAAGTATCAAGTGGCAGCTGTTACTGTTGTTCTTCAGTTGTGTCCAACTCTTTGTGACCCCTTTCAGGATTTTCTTGGCAAAGATACTAGAGTGGTTTGCCATTTCCATCTTCAGCTCATTTTACAGATGAGAAAACTGAGGAAAACTGGGTTAAGTGACTTGCCCAGGGTCACACAGCTAGTAAGTGTCTGAGGCCAGATTTGAACTCAGGAAGATGAGTTTTCCTGACTTCAGACCTGGCACGCTATCCACCATGGCACCCAGCTGCCTTTATCAAGTGGCAGGCATGCCTTTAAATATTCCACAGCTATTCATGTACCCACTAACTCTCCTACTATTTTTTGAAGAAATAAAAATGCCCTATCATTCATTGTCACTGTTTCCATTTTATAGAAGTAATTGAGACAAAGGCTGAACAAATTTGCCCTACAGTAGTTCCAGTATCTTGTTACTCTTAATTAGTTCTAACATGCCTGAGCTACCCCCTTAAGGCAATGAAGTTATTCTATTTCTCATTGGGGATAAGTTGATACAGTAATGAAAACTTGAAAAGAATGCTCTGTGTCCCCTGTGGCAGTTTATAAGAAAGGGGGAGTGACATCTTTCTTTTGCTTGGGCAGGTCCAATCCAGGAATAAGTTGAAATTTAGTGCCCAAATAAAAGAAAGTCCCAAATATAGAATAGATAGAGTGCCGAGTGGAGGAAGATGGCAGTGAACACAGCTTTAGGCAGCTGCTTATCAATATTCCCTCTGCAAAGAAACCCAGGAGTGTGTGAGCATAGCCAACACTTAGAAATATTGAGGGAACATTTTAAAATTATCCTGGTTTGAAGCATTTGGACTAATCTGAAAGAGAAACCTTTAACAATCTTTTTTTAACCATTTGTTCTGAAACAATGTCCTACTTCTTTCTTTCCAAAACATCTACAGGAAGAACTCCTTCCTTGAAGTCATCAGGGCAGTGATGAGATGGAGGCAAGGCCTAGAGATCCTTGAATAGATTACCAAAAGGAATTAGAATAATCACTCACCTAAAGGCAGCATCAGGGCAACTAGGTGGCACCATAGTGCATAGAGTGCTAGGCCTGGAGTCTGGAAGAGTTCAAATCTGGCACTTACTAGCTGCGTGACTCTGGGAAAATCACTTCACCCTATTTGTCTCAGTTTCCTCATCTCTAAAATGAGCTGGAGAAGGAAATGGCAAACAACTCAGTGTCTTTGCCAAGAAAACCCCAAATGGAGTCAGGAAGAGTCAGACATGACAAAAATGATTGAAGCTAAACTGAAGGGCAGTATCTTCTTTCCTCATTTCACGAAAGAGTCAGAGTCCTAATAAGAAGTAAAAGGACCTTTTGATTATTACACATAACCTATTATTAGTTAGATGGGGGGGCGGGAGTGGGGTATGAGCCCTTGAGGTGAAAGGTCAAAGAAGAATTTAGTGGTTTTATAAGGAAGATTCTCCTGGGACTTCCGAAAAAAATTAAGTGAATATTATTCTATTGAATGTTAGCCCTAAACTGTGTAACATGTTTTGTCATATTGTGAAATGTGCTTGGTTCAAGATTCCTATAAATGTTATTTCAAGATGCCTAGTTTCAGAGACATGTCAGAAAGTATGAAAGGATTCTGTCAGTTTAGAGTGACATTTCTCTCTGAGGCAGGACAATGGTTGAATTTAAATTAATAAAAATGTTTAAATAATCAAATTATAAAAACTATAATCATATTATTAAAACAGTAATATTATGGTAGTTAAAAATATTAATTATAACAAAAAGATTTGTGCTTGAAATGCAGAGCATGCTGTTAATTTTTTTCTTCTGCAAAAGTGAGAGTGAAGGTTGAAAATTGTAGTTTCCTCTCAATGCTGAAGGGTGTGTGTATGTGTGTGTGAGTGTGTGTGTGTATGTGTGTCTGTTAACCAAGTCCCAGTAGAGAGCTATAGGCATAGCTAACTTTAAGCAAGCATACACATCTACATTTAAATCAAACATTTATTGAGTACAATCTGATCCTGAAGTACATTTCTAGGCTTGTCATGGGTAATTTTCCTTTGTAGACTCTACAGTTCAGCTAAACAGGCCTTTTTGCTGTTCCTAATATAAGACATCTCTGTGTGCTTGCACTGACTGTCCTATGTCAATCAATCAACATTTATTAAGCACCTGTTATGTGCTAGGTACTGTGCCAAGTGCTAGTGATACAAAAAGAGGTAAAGGCAATTCCTGTTCTCAAGAAGCATATATTCTAATGGGGGGGGAGGGAGAGGCCCTCAGCAAACATATACATACATACACACATATACATACATATATACACATACATACATATGCATATATACATGTACACATACACACACACACACACACACACACACACACACTGAGCAAGCTATATACAGGATGAATAGGATGTAATTAACAGAGGGAAGGCACTAGAATTAAGAGGGGTTAGGGAAAGCTTCCAGTAAAAGAAAGGATCCTAACTGGAAGCTAGGAAGGTCAATAGATGCAGTGAATGAGGGATTTCACTCCAGGCATGGGAGATGGCCAGAGAGAAAGCTGAGAGCTGAGAGATGGAGCACCTTGTTCATGGGACAACCAGGAGGCTAGAGTCACTGGATAGAAGAGTATGAAGTGAGGAATAAGGTGTAAGGAGACTGGAAAGATAGTGGTAGTGGCCGGAGGAGGCAGGAGCTAAGTTATAAAGGGTTTTGGATGTCAAACGAAGCATTCTTATAGGCAATAGGGAGCCACTGGAGTTTAGAGTGTGTGTGTGTGTGTTGGCATGGTGGGACTAGTGCTTTAGGAAAATCACTTTAGTATCTGAAACAGGGAGAGACTATATACCTGAAATGCTTTCCTGACCCCTTCACCCTCTTGCTGTCTCCTGGCCCCCAACTCATAGAAGCCATAGTTTTCTTTAAAACTTAAGTCAAGTTCAGCCATCAACACAAAACCTTTGCTGATCCCCGAAACTACTAGTATCCTTCCACCCCAAATTACCATGTATTTATTTTATATGTACTTAAATAGACACATCATATTTCCTATAAAAGAATGAAGACTCCCTATGATTATGGACTGTTTCATTTTCCCTTTGTATCTCTGACACTAAGTGCAGTGCCAGCCACATAGTTAGCAGTTAATAAATGTTAGCACTAAAGATAAATTGAGTTGGGGGAAATTTTTTTCCTAAAATTAAGATTCATAATGGGATCCCTCTAAATAACTAATTTCTCTAACATATTAGGGAATATTTTGTCAAGTAGGTGGCAAAGCAGTTAGAGTGTTGGATCTGGGGCCAGAAGGAACTAACTTCTGACATTTCCTGGCTATGTGAAGCTGAGCAAGTCACTTGATTCTTATTTGCTTCAGTTTCCTCACCTGTAAAATGGGAATAATTATAAGACCTACCTCCCAGGGTTGTTGTGGGGATCAAATGAAATAATATTTGTAAAGCACTTTGTAAACCTTAAAGTGCTTACATAAATGATAGCTATTACTGCTGTTATTATTACAATATACTATTCACACAAATTCTGTTTATGCAAACCTTTCAGAAATGCTTCTCACATAAAGTGAGATCTACGTATATTAAAACTTGGATCCCTAAGAAATGTATCAGCCTCTGTTTCTGAGTTATATATGTCTGAAATCCTATTTACCCAGAGAAACATGATTTAGTTAACAAATAAAATTAGTTTTCCTTACTCAGCCTTGACTGCAGCATTCCAGAGTTATTGTTGGCTGTGTCATTAAGTCTCAAAGTTCCTCTGCCCCTTTCAGTCCAAGATTGTGTCATCTTTTTAAATATAAAGAGTTTGCAGTTGATCTAAATGAAAAATAAAAACAAAGACAACTTGTTATATAGGTAAATTTGTTCTGAATCAGGTATCTTCTATAGACCCACTTTCAAATGACCTCAATGCTATGAAGGATAGGGATCTATGATAATCAGAAATGAAATTTAAGATGTCCTATAATAATGAACATATGATATATCTTAAGAGTAGCCCAACCACTCCAAACTACTGTTTGAACTAAATAGCACAAGGTCATGGAGAAGGAAGAAGAGAAGAAAGGGAAAGGAGGGAGTCCTGGGAGAAGCAGACTTTGGGGTTTGAAAACATTTGCATGATTACTTTAATTTTTATTTCCTATCATTGGATTGAGTCATTAAACTTGTGATGCAAATCTGCATAAACAATATACAAATTAAAGCACTTTACATGGCTCAGTATATGCAGATGAGGGAAATTTTGATTTGGACAAAATGTCAAACAAACTCACTCAGCTGAAAGAACTTTGACAAAGTAAAAAAACCAAAAACAACTAACAGTGGAGAAAGTGCCAGGAGTCAGAAAGCCAAGTTCATATTTGATCTCAGGCATTTACTAGATGTTTGACCTTGGACAAGTCACTTAAACTCTGTTTGCCTCAGTTTCCTCATCTACAAAATTAGGATAATTAATGGCATCTACCTTCTGAGGTCATGGTAAGCAACAAATGAGGTAATAATTGTAAAGTGCTCAGCACAGTGCCTAGCATATAGTAAGGATTACATAAATGTATACTATTATTATATTAAAAATTACTATAATTGTCAATACTATTGTAATACTGTTATAATATTGTTATTGATTCCTATATTCCTTATCTTGGATGTAGGTCATCTTTTCAATATAGCATTTCATAAATATTGTGAAATGCAGATATATTTCTTTCAGAACTGTTTAATTACAGCATTGATTATAAAAAAGTCACCACTGGGTTTTTTGTTTGATTTTTGTTTTTTGGCCCTAAATCTTAGGTCAATCAAATCACTGATACAGTTGAGTATGTGAGAGGTAGGACCTATTGTAATACAGCATGCTAGGGTATCTTTTTCCAATAGAAACTAATTGTGAACAAGTCCTTTTCCCTTAAGAGGCAAAAATCCAAGTAAAATAGTGGTTCAGTCTAGTTCAAAGTCAATATTAATTCACAAGCTTTTTCCAGGAAAGATACTGCTGTCCTTCATCTTCAAAGATGACCCTTTCTGATGGTTATCAGCCATAGGGATGTTGACAAACTCACCTTTAATACATTACGTTCTTCTTCCTCTCCTGTTATAACTTCAATTTTCTCCAGTATACATTTTGGTGATGGCTTGGAGGAGAATGCAGCTGCTGATTCCTTTAGAGTTGTGTTTTTACAAGAGCCTATTCCCACAAGAAAATGAAATTAAATAATCTTCACACTGTGGTTATTTGCCATTCTTAGATCTTCTTTGTTGATATAAATTAATATAAGTATTGTTTTGGCCATCAATAACCTCTGTTTCCAAAACAATCTTGCTGCTACTAATTAAGCTCAAAGACTAGTTGAGTTTCTAAATAAAATCTTCTTACATGACAATTCAAACAAGTTAAAATTTTATGACATTTAACAATCCAAAAGGGTTAAATATTAATTTTATTTATTTGCATATATACATTATTTTAAAATACTTTTTAATCATATATGTGTTATCTGTATATTAAATTATATCTAATTTGATTCTAAAATATGAGCTACTCTTCTTTTTTTTTTTAGGCAATTGGGGTTAAGTGATTTGCCCAGGGTCACACAGCTAGTAAGTGTCAAGTGTTTGGTCTGAGGCCAGATTTGAACTCAGGTTCAAACCTGACTTCAGGGCCGGTGATCTATCCACTGCACCACCTAGCTGCCCAAATATGAGTTACTCTTAACAATACCCATGCATACGTGATCTCACCATAGACAAAATGTAGGAGAGAAAATGAAAAGCTTAGAAGCGGAATTCTTACTTGTCCATGAAAAGTGGAAGGGAAAAGACACAGAGGAAGTAAATGGCTTTTCCTTATTGTACAGATCCTTTTCTTGGTGAAGCTCAGTGGGTTTTTGTGGACTCTAGAAAACAAGATGCATTCTTTAATACTGTCCTTCATTTACACTAACAAAAGGTTTTGTTTTTACACATACACACACACACACAGATGTGTGTGTGCAACAATTTCTTTTTAATCAAATTAGCTTTTTCCTGATCAGTACCAGATAATGAAATAGTTATATGAATACCATTCCTGGTTAGTGAACGTTTATTAAACACTTTGTACCCTTGATCCCGTCTCCTACAGTCTCCTCTGGGAGCTCTCCCCTACAACCATTCCTTATTTCTCTCATTTACCACCTCTTCTTGTTTACTTGCCCTTTCCTCAATGCCTACAAATATGTGCAGGACTTCTCCATCTTTCATAAAACAAAAACCTCTCCACTTGACCTTGCCACCCACTTAAAATTCCATTCTTTATCTCTTCTCCCTTTAACAACCAAAATCTTTGCAAGCATCACCTACACTCTTGTGTCTCTTTCCCACTCTCTCCTTCACTTGTCAACTCCTTTCAATCTAACTGCCAATTTCTCCCCTGAAACTACTTTTTCTAAAGTTATCAACAATCACTTAACCCCTGTCCCATTTCTATATTTTTGATCTTCATCCCAGGAATGGATTCTTTCTTCCTTTTCTATCTTTAAAAGTTCCTCTCTTCCTTTCTAGGACCAATTTAGGTACCATTTCCTCTAGGAAGCTTCCTCTGAGTTCATGCCTAGGTGAAAGATATCTTTTTTCACTTAAATTTCTCTTGTAGCTTGAACCTCATACCTCTGTATTCATTTTTACTTTTCCTCGTATTGTTGTATCCACATCTGCCTTGTTGTTGCTCTACAGTATCTTACACTCAATATATCAAGGCTCTGTGACTTTATAGGTGCCAAGAGTCCCTCCACCTTGTTCTTATTGTTGTTGTTCAGTCATTCAGTCACATCCAACTCTTCATGACCCCATAGATCATAGTTTGCCAATATTGTACATGGGGTTTTCTTGGCAAAGACACAGAGTGGTCTGCCATTTCCTTTGCTAGGTCCCTCCACCTATCCAGTATGTAACTAAGAACTTATTTTTTGAGAGTTGCTAAAGGCTTAAACAGGTTAAGTGACTTGTCCCTGGTCCCATAGCTAAGGTAAGGTCTCGCACATAGCTGGTGTTTAATAAATTCTTGTAAAATTTAATGCGAAACCTTAAACCTTAATAGATTTAACATTGACTTAGTTATCAGAGCTTCATGATTTCCAGCACAGTACCTTGTACAAGTGGGTACTTAATAAAATTGGAATTATCAATCACTAATTCAATTTTTTTGAGTTTATGCCCCAGGAGTAAGTCACTCAAAAGTACTGCACCTATGTTTTCTATCCCCTGACATTTCAATGGTAATTATAATGGTTTTCATTGCTGTACTTCAACAGAACATTGTTTTGTGAAGATTCATTAACAAATGATTAAAAAGCAGTTTGCTGATGTTCAGTGCCATTGAAATATGCTAAATAACAATTCTATTACCAATTGAGCATATCTAAGTGTCTTTAGTCCTGCTGAGATTTACCTCCCCCCACCAAAATTGTGCCTTGATTAACATATGCCAAAGCACTTATATAACAGTATTGCAAATGTAATATACTGTAATTATGCAGCTCCTTTCCTTTGAGGTTTCCAAGCTATTATCCTAATAACTAGAACATGCTTCCCATGAGGTTCCTTTTGTTCAAAGGGGAAAAAAAGCTTATCATTTCATCCAAGAGAGCTAAAGAAAAGCATATTAGAATTTAACTATTGTTTTGATGATGTTGCTATTAGAAGCACTAAAATGAAAATTTTCTTATAAGTGATAATTGAATTCTTTGATAATTGAAATCTTACCAAAACTCTCTCATTCATGTTTTCTCCAAAAATGAAATTGGAACTATGGTTTTGTAATGAATGTCTGTCTTCATTTGGTTGACTTCTGAGGAAAGAAAGAATTTTTGAAGTATTATTTTTCAAAATGTGATGATATCAGCCATTCCAAATACATGTATATATTTTTAAAAAAGATGAAAAGACTGGATGACAATACAAATTAAAACTGAAAAAATCTATGTTACAAATTCAAAACACAATATAGTTAATATTGGATGATAGGTGATAATGGAAAGGTGACAAAAAGCAAAACTGTTGTGGATATTTTGAAGCCTCTCACCTCTTTAGTCTCTCTTCCCTATTTAGCTCTTTCTCCATTTCCACCCCCAGGAAGCCAGCACTGTTTCCTACAAAGTCTACCTAAATCTAAAGCAAAGAGCTCTGATAAGTCAATAATGCTTCACAGAAAATTTGCCTAATATCTTACCCCTAGGAGGAACATTAAAAAAAAAAAAAACCTGCAGAGATAGGGAGCCAAAAGGATTAAATTTCTGAAAATAGAATTTCAGCACCTGGGTCAGTGGAAATTTTTGAGTTGGGGTGAGTGGAGGGAAGGAAAGATATCACCAGCCTCTTCAAACCATACCTGTAGATACTAACAATAATCCACATTCATATAGCAGAAGGTTTTCTTACAACATTATGAAGTAGATAGCACAAATATTATCCCCATTTTACAGATGAGGAAATAGTGACTTGCCCATGTTCACATAAGTACAAGAATGGTACTCATAATAGCTCATGCTTATACAACACTTGAAAGTTTACAGAGCACTTTACACATAATATCTCATTTGGTTCTAATTACCTGTGAGATGTGTGATTAAAATATGATCCTATCTTATAAATGAGAAATCTCAGAGAGGTTAAGTGAGTTGTGCCTGGTCACACAGCTAGATCTAGGTCTCCTAACATAGCAGACCTATAGTTCAATGAAATATCTAGCTTGATTTTCTCTGCCTTGACGTCAAACAGTTCATCAGATAATACAGATAAAAATTACTGTGTTTTCTTTCCCATCTTCTTTCCTTTGTCAGAGTCTTGTGGAAGTAAAGCAATAACAAGAAAGTAGGAAAGAAAAAAAAAGATGGATTATCCAATAACTTGGATAATCCACTCCAAAATATATCAAAGTGTCAGTATTTTTTTGGTAGTTCAAAGTTCATCAAGAATCATTTCAGAAGCATGTGAAATAGACATGCATACACACAGATATAATGTAGTAATCTTAACAATCTATCTTTGTAATCTCAATTCTTTTTTCATGAAAAGTTAAAAAATAAGGGAAATTAGAGCAAAAACACCAGAAATTACTATTTAAATTGCTCTCCCTCCTTTATTAACTCACCTTATTGGGGTAAGACTTAAAAGATGTGAGCTAGTACATTTGACTAAGGGGTGAGTACTTGCTGAATTTTCACTCTGCATGTGAGGATTCTCTTCAGAAAGCTGAAAGAAAAAAATGCAATTCAGAAAAAAAAGATCATGTTAACTCTGCTTCTCAGAAAGTGAACTAGATACTAACCAGAATTTTACTGTTTTAAACCTTTTAACTAATCAATTTTTGCTTGCTTTGTGATCAAGTGTGGCCCAAAATTTCATATACCCTAGTCAATTAGCTGGGGAAATGATTGAAAGTTAAAGGAACCTCTTTGACTTTTAATTTTTAAACTAGTTAACAGAAGTTAATTTCTATGCCTGGATCAGTGATGTCACATGTCTAGACTGTAAGGCCAACACCATTATTTCTGAAAAAAAGCATGAATGAATGAATCCATGAAAAAAGCATTTATTAAGCACTTATTATATATAAAGTACACTGCTAAGTGTTGAGGATACAAATAGACAAGCAAGAGAGTTTTCGCTTTCAGAGAGCTCACAATCTAATGCGGGTGACAGCACATTTAAGAGGCTTTAACTGTGTGAGATGATGAGGCCCCATGTTTTTAAGGGTGCAAAGCAGAATGTAAAGTATCTTCTTTAGTGTCATTTCTACTGATAAAACTCACTGGTTTTTCATGTAAAACTATCTGATGGTGTCAAGGATGGTGGTTAGAACTTTCTTTTCTGAGTCTTCAGTAGCTGTGGGTAGATTTCATCTCCACATCTTCCTGAGATTGCTTCCCAAGATGAGGGCTGTGGGTATGGGACCTGTGGTCTGGGTGGTGTTACCACTCCCAGGGTTCTTGGTTTTACATATCCATTGATGGAAGTTGTTCACAAGTTTGTCTTGTTGAGGAAGGTAGGTCCTCCATAGCGATTGCTCCCCTCCGTGATGAGTGCAGGACCTGCACTGGAGGTAGGACTGGTAGTCAGAGGGGCAAGTCTAATCCCAAAGCTCTTGGGTAGAGGTCCTGGGCTGTCTTTATTGGGGTCTGAGGTGGTCGTTTTGGTGGCAGCGGTGGTTTATCCAGTGTGCCATGTGCAACCTCCTATATTTCCCTCAGGTTCCCTTTCTGCTTTGGCGAAGTTGACTTGCCTGCCCTATAGCATCAACATTGGCAGCACCATTGTCTTTATCTAAATTGGTCAGAAACCAATCTTCAGCTTTACTAGAAACCTTTTTACTCTTTTAACTAGTTAATCCTAATGTGTAAATATACATATGTAGATATATTTATATATTATCACTAAAATTTGAGCTGAAAGGCTCTGTAAGTCACTAAATTCAACACCCACCCCTACCTTCCCTCATTTCTCAAAGAACCTGAAGTCCAGATGGATCAAGTGATTTGCCCAAAGTCCAAAGCTAGCACTATGTCAGAACCAGGATTAATACCAAGTTAACTAAATTTTCATTGAATAAATAAAATTGACTGTTTTTGTTTTGGTGCTAACACCTTCATAGTGTTGCTCTCCTTGAATGAATGAAAACTTGATTATTAAGTGCTTATTATATGTAAAGCATATAATGAGGTGTGAGAAGGAAATAAACCAATCCTCAACAGTTAAATGGAAATAGACTTCTTGACTAGGGTCAAACCTCCAACAGGGCCCTTTCCTACCTTTTTAGTTTTCTTACACCTTACTATGTTTCTAGAACTCTGAGATCTAGCACACATCACTCTTGTCTCCCAGCTGTGCATTTCCTTTCATTGTCCCCCCAGGCTTAGAATGCTGTCCTTCCTTACCTCTGCCTCTTAGTTTGCTTCAAGTCCCAGCTAAAATTTCACCTTTTACAAGATGTCTTCCCTTGAATGCTAGTATTTCCCTCTGAGATTATTTGCAATTTTCCCATATATTTTTTGTTTGTATATAGTTGTTTCAATATTGTTTTACCTTTTAAAAACTAGGACTGTCTTTTGCCTTTCTTTGTATCCCAGAACTTAGCACAGTACCTGGCACGTAGTAAGTAAGTAATAGATGCTTGTAGATTCAATGTGGGCTCAGAGAGCCCAAAGGCAAAACTGTAAGGTAAGCAGAATTATCTTCCAAAACCCATTCCCAGGAGCATACTGTCTCCACCTTCTTAAGGTTCAACCCATCCCAGCTGTGACATTTTATTACTGGAACTCCTTGCTTTGATATTCCCTTACTTCATTTCATCATCGCTTCAAAGCTCTCCCTGGGTGATAATGAGTGGGGAAGGGACAAACTAAACCTTCTTATCATACAAACTAGCTAATGTAGTTCCAATAGAAACAGATAACATTATTTGGACACAATTAAGATATCCACAGAAAGACCCCTGTAGTGATTCAATGTAATTCAACTTGATATACATTTATTATCTTACAGAAGTTATTTTTCTTACCTCATTTTTTGATTTTTCACTGGTCTTGTAAAATTCCATGGCCTTGGCATGCTCAAATGCATTTCTTTCTACACATCTCTGAGATTGAGGTGGTTGCAAAATGGCAGGTCTTAGAATGCGACATTGTTGACTACGCTCCCAAGGGCCTTAATAACACAGAAGGATAAGTATAGTTTTGAAACAAAATGTGCCCACCAATTTGGGGGCCAGTAAAAGGCAAGGTTTCTCCAGGAAAGGAAGGGTTGAAACAACCACATTTAATCCTGATTCACTCCTTTCTTTGTCCTATCTAGAAGTCAAAATAAGACAAAATAAAAAATACCCCCAGTATGAAGGGCTAACAATTTACTCCAGGACAAGTACACCATACTCATCTAATACTTGACAACAAGGGAAGGATCTGAATCAGCAAGAATTGTCTTTGACTCTGGTTTCCTAAGATATAGTCAATGAAAACCTTCAAAGCATGTTAAGCTATAATGGTGACTACACAAAAAGGGGCGAGAGGTAGGGGACAGAGCTTAGAAATAGGAAGATCTATGTTTAAGTTCCACTTCTGACCCACACTAGCAGAGTGACCAAGGCAAAGTCATTTACCCTTTTAGTTTCCCAGGTGACTCTCTAAAACTATAAGTTATAGTCTTGCAGGAATAAAGATATTTGACATGAGAGAGTTCCTCTATGTTGATGAACTTATAAATTCCAACCAAATAATAAAACCAAAGTGACTACATACCTTTTTCTGTCCTGGCCGTGTCAACATTCCATTGTGAAGCAGTTGTGGTCATGAAAACATTATTTTTCTTAACTGTAAAATAAATATTTAAAGCACTTTTAAATTTCTTTGATGACTTAAACAAAACAAAGAAATACAATCTATTACACATATAACCTTTAACCGTGTGTTATGGTTCAGTTATTTTTTCAGTTGTGTTTGACTCTCATTCGGGGTTTTCTTGGCAAAGATATTGGGGTGGTTTGCCATTTCCTTCTCCAGCTCATTTTACAGATCAGGAAACTGAGGCAAATAGGGTTAAATGACTTGCCCACACGGCTAGTAAATGTCTGAGGCCAGATTTTAACTCATGAAGATGAATCTTCCTGACTCCAGGGCCAGGACTCTATCCACTTCACCATCTAGCTGCCCTAACCTTTAACCACACCATCACCCCAATAAACACACATTCACAGCTACTTATGTTTTTTAGCCCCAGGGAAAAAAACACTAGATTTGGAGTCAGAAGATGGGTTGAAAATTTAGCTCTGCCACAAATGAGCTGTGTGTCATTTCCCTTTTCTAGACCTCATTTCCTCAGCTATGAGACAAAGAATGAGGTTGGACTATGATCTCTAAGGAGGCCTCTAAGTCTAGATCTGTAAGTAAGACTATATGCCCTGAAAATAAATTTCCATCGGCAATATATTGGGCAGGTTGGTGTGGTGGAAAGAATACCAGATCTGGAGTCAGTGGATATCAAGCTTTGAATCCTGCCTCTGACATTTAACTGGGTAACCATTTAAATTCTCTGAAATTCAGCTTCTTCATCTGTAATATAAAGTGATGGGTAATAATAGATACCACTTACATAGACATTTAAAGTTTGCAAAGCTTGCAAATGTCATCTTATTTCATCCTCACACCAACACTTGGAGATAGGTGTAATTATTATGCACATTATACAGATGAGGAAATTGAGACAAGAATATTTAAATAACTTTTCGACTGTTACACAAAGAGTATCTGAGGCCAGATCTAACACTCTATCCGTGCTACTATCTATTGCTTCTAATGCTTTTAAGTATCCACCATAAATTGTGAGGAGCAAGAGATTATGTACGTAAAACACTCTGTAAACCTTCACGTATTATATTGTTGTTCAGTAGTTTCAGTTGAATTTGACTCTATGTAACCCCATTTGGGGTTTTCTTGGCAAAGATACTGAAGTGGTTTGCCATTTCCTTCTCCAGCTCATTTGACAGATGAGGAAACTGAAGCAACCAGGGTTAAGTGACTTTCCCAGGGTCACACAGCTAGTAAAATATCTGAAGCCAGATTTTAACTCAGGAAGAAGAGTTATCCTAACTGCAGGCAGACACTGTCCACCTAGTTGCCTCAATGTGATATATATCTATATATACATATATATAGATATATATGTGTATGTGTTATATTATATATACATATATGTATGTATATATGTATAGATATGTATAATTATATAATTATATATGTATGTAATATATGTATAATTAGCCACTTTCTTTGTAACTCTTTTAGATTTCCATTTATTTTATGTTCCCCTCCCCTTAGAAGATAAACTACTTGAGAACAGATTGTTTCTTTTTTGTTTGATTATTTTTATATTTTTGTCACTTAGCAAAGTGCTTATTGATCTCCATCTTTAACAGTAGTCATTTTATATACTGTTTCTGCTTGCTTTTCTTCGTTATTTTATATAAGTCTTCATAAAAGTCTCCATATCCATTATTTTAATGGCATCATAACATTCTCTTACATCGATTATTTAAAACATTTTTTTGTCTGTGAAAATATGATTTGCTTGCTAGTTTCTACACTCTGGGGAGGGTCTAGCTGTCCTGTGGTAAACTCACCAATAGATGTCGCTATTGGCATTGAAAAAACAAATAGGCAGGCTGACTTTGTTGCTTAGGTTAGTTTCTGTCATTTTGTTCCTAAGTGAGATAAAGCTAAAAAGTTGGTGGATAATTGCAATTACAGGCTCTTGTTGGGGAGAGGAGAGAGAAGAAATAATATACTAAAGAAAATCTTAGATTATGAGGGGTCTGGTCTGAATGGACAACTAAGTCTCTATCATTGTGAATAGCAAGACCATTTATGTAGCACTGTTAAGTGAATGATCAATTAATCCACAGAAATTGATGTTTCTTTTTACGTTATCATATACTGGCAATTCTCTAGGCCTGGAATACTCCCCCTCCTTCTCTCCACCTCCTGTCTTCTTCCCCAGTTTCCTTCAAGTCCCAGTCAAAATCCTACCTTCTATAAGAAATCTTTCCTGATGCCTTCCAATAACAGTGCCTTTCCCTGACTGATTATCCATTTTATCCTATATAGGTAGCTTGTTTATACATTGGTGTTTCATGATGTGTCCTCTATTGGAGAGTTAGCTCCTTAAGATCAGGGACTGTCTTTTTTTTTCTTAGTATCCAGAAAGCCAGGCTCATAGTAGGTGCTTAATACATGCTAATTGATTGACTGACAATACTTTGATGAATCTACAATCTCATTGATAACAAATAGAACTCATGTTATGTGGAACATGGATTAGAGAGGGGAAAAAAACATGAGTCAGAGAGACCAATGAGAAGGCTATTTCAGTAGTCTGGATGAGGTAATAATGGATTAGGGTGGGTGACTGGGTAGAGAAAAGGGGACAGATGGGAGAGATGTAGGAGTTTGTCAACTGGTTAGGTATGTAGGGTGAAGAAGAATGAGGAATTGTGGATGACTCTGAGGTTGTAAATCTGGGTAACTAAAAGAATGGTGGCACCCTCAACCAAAGTAAGAAAATTAGGAAGAGGGGTGAGGTTTTTTTTTGGGGGGGAGGAATACTGAGTTTTGAATCCCTACTTTTCTTCTAAAATTCCATTCAAATACCACCTCTTCATTAAGCCTGTCCTGAGTCCTTTCAGATGTTAGTGCTGTCACCTCCCTTAAAAATCACTTTGTATATATTCTGTACACACACATATATACGGTTTCTCCCAAGTGAAAGTAAGCTCCTTGAAGGCAGGGACTAAATTTGATTTTTGTCTTTGTATTCCCACCACCAAGCATAGTACCTGGCATATAGTAGATAAATGTTTATTTGCTCACTTAATAGTAACAATAACTGTCATTTACATAGTATTTTTAAGATTTACAAAGTGCTTTGCATGCATTATCTCATTGGGTCTCCACAATAACTCTGTGATGTACATGCAAGTATTATCCTTATTTTACAGATAAGGGAATTGAGAAACTGAAGATCAAACAGATTAAATGACTTGCTCTTGTTCACACAGCTGCTAAGTGTTAGAGACTCAGTTTGGGGCCAGATCTCCCAATTCCAAGAGTAGCATGCTATCTACAATATCAGGTTGTTCTAAGAGGTGTTAAAAGATGGACTCTTTCCACTAGAGCAAAATGCATGCAGACCTTCTCATGTTTTTCAGTTCTTGGTGGCACAGAAGAATGCTGGAGTCAGAAGACCCAAGTTCAAATCCCACTTTAGACTCTTACTAGTTGTGAGACCTTGGGTAAGTCGTTTAACCTCTGTTTACCTTAATTTCCTCAACTATAAAATGGGCATAATATTAGCACCTACCTCCCAGGGTTGTTTTGTTTTGCTTTTAGGCAATCAAGGTTATATGACTTGCCCTGGGTCACATAGCTAGCATGTGTTTAAGGCTGGATTTGAACTCAGGTCCTCCTGACTCTAACACTAGTACTCTATTCATTGCACCACCTAGCTGGCCCTCAGGGTTGTTGTGAGGAACAAATGAGATTATATTTATGAAGTACTTAACACAGTGTCTGACCCATAGTAGACACTATATAAATGCTTATTCTCTCCCCTCCCTCTCTTCTTTCCTTCCATAAATCTCCTACAGATGATCTAACACACCAGAGGCTTTCAGATTCTATTATTACACTTCAAAAATATTAGAACTCTTCAATTCTTCAAAAAATATGTAAGGTGGGTTATTTTCTGTTATTTTTAATAGAGCTCCACATGTGAAACGCGCAAGCAATATCAAGCAGCCTGTAGGCCAGTGGTTCTTAAAGTTGTGACCTCAGGACCTCTTTAAGCACTTAAAAATTTGTGAGGACCCCAAAGAGCTTCTGTTTATGTGGGTTATATCTAACGATCCCATATTAGAAATTAAAACTGATAAAATTTTAAAATATTTATTAATTCATTTAAAATAATAAGCTCATTATGTGTTAGCATAAATAACATATTTTGATGAAAAATAAGTGAGAAGAGTAGCTTTTACATATTTTTGCAAATCTATGTAATGTCTGGCTTAATAGAAGACAACAAGATTCTTGTATCTCCTTCTGCATTCAATTTGTTTAGATATGTTGTTTTGATTGAAGTATATAAAGAAAATCCATCCTCATATAACTATGGAGTTGGAAAAGGGAGGAGGATTTTAATAGTCAAATAACATTCAGTATTATTATGAGAATAATTTTGATCTTGTTGACCCACTGAAAGGGTTTACTGACCACACCTTGAGTATTCCTGCTGTAGGCATTTCACAAATATTAATGGAAAAACATGGAATTGATTTGAATTATGGAAGAAAATATGAACTGAGTTCTCTAAGTATAAGCAAGCTTACTTGAATGGAGGGTGGGAAGAGATTCACTATCAGTTTGCTTTGACAGTGTTAGTTCCTCCAATTTAAGGTTTAGATAAATAGCTCTTACTGAGCTAATACTGAGTCTATATAGATATGAGCATACCCACTTTCTGTAGTTCATTCCTCCTAAGAGGTTAAAAATTCTCTTCTTAGTACAACAAAAAGAAAAACTACTACTAGTACTACTACCATTACCAGTAATACTAGTACTACTACTACTACTAGTCGTGTACTACTAGAATACTAACATCAACTTTTCCCCTAGTGCTAATAATCTTTTCTAATGTTTGTACTTTGCCAATCACATAGTAGGCAGTATAGGGTTGTAGAGGGTGTATGATCTGGAATCAAGAAAAACCTGTTACATAAATCTTCATTCTAATATTTACTTACTAGATACGAGTCTGGGCAAATCATTTATGCTCTTTGAGCTTCAGTTTCCCTGTATGTGAAACAGAAATAATATTTGTACTATCTACATTACAGTGTTGTTACAAGGATGAAAGGAGATAACGTGAATTACTTTGTAAACTTTGAGTTATTACTTAGATTAATATCCCTTTAGGTAGGAAAAATTCTGTCTCATTGGTACCTAGCATATTATTTGTGATCAGTAGTACCAATAGGGTCATGAAGAATAGGGATTTCATTTGTTTTACTGCATTTATAGTTCCTAGTGTTGATTCACTCATATTTTTAAAACAGGGCACATGCTTTTTCTTATTTGGTAAGGTTGGTTTTTGTAGTGTGTATCATATAGAGCAGACTATATTTTAATTAGGGAAGCTAGGTGGAGCAGTGGTGGATAGAGTGCTGGTCCTAGTGTCAAGAAGACTCATCTTCATGAATTCAAATCTGGCCTCAGACTCTTTAGCTCTATGTGACCCTGGGTAAGTCACTTAACTCTGTTTGCCTCAGTTTCTTCATCTGTAAAATGAGCTGGAGAAGGAAACAGCAAACCGATTCTAGTATCTCTGCCAAGAAAACCCCAAATGGAGTCACAGAGTCAAATGTCACTGAAAAATGACTAAACATAAAAAAATCTTATAAGGAATACAGTTGCCATTACTATTTGACAGTAGTGAAATCTTAGGATCTAATGACTCTGAGATCATAGATTTGGACCTAGAAGGGACCTCCGAGGCTTAGTCCAACTCTCTCATTTTACAGATGAGAAAACTGAGGCCTTGGAGGTTAAATAACTTGCCCAAGGTCCCTAAATGAAACACCAGATCTTAGGAAAACAGCAGACCTAGAATTTGAATCCATAAAGTACTAATTTAAATACAATTATCGACACCTCAATAGTATATTCTATTTTAAATATTTTTAGCCATCTATTGTGTGTAAGGTACTATGCTAGTCCCTGAAGACATGAAGTAAAAAATGAAATGGTCCCTATACTCAAAGAGCTAATATTCTACTGGGGGAGGGCGGTCGAGGGAAGGATGTTTCATATAGTATGATTCAATTTGGTACTGGTTCAATTCAAAAGTCATTTATTAAGTGTCTATTATCCCCAGGAATAGATGTGGATACAAAAACAAAAGGATGAGTAAATTCAAGGTAATTGAAAGCAGAATGAGAATGTTTAACACTTAGGGGAACCAGGAAAAGTATCTGAGCCTGAACCATGAAGGAAGTTAGGGATCTCTCTAGGTGATGGTTAAAGGGAGAAAGCATTCCAGGCTTGACAGAAACTCTGTGTGAAAGGATATGGAATGCAGACAAACCATTTTAATGCAACAATTCAACATTGATTCAGAATAAATGGAAGAGTGCTGTTTGAGTAAGTGAAAAATCCCAGATTGCAGTATATTATATAAGTAATTATATAAGTTTAATTATTGTTGGGTAATGCACATATCATCAATTAACAAGTGGGTACTAATAAGTAAAATACATTTATATTACATAAAACTGCAGCATAAATACAAAAGTCCTTAACAAATTGTAGATTTTTGTTAAAAATGATATAATTTGATTAAATTAGTACAGTCTGAATTCACAAAGCTTTACTGTGTATAACATTTTAATTTGACTTTTATTTAATTTGACAGGTAAAGTCACAAAAATATTTAAAATACATTACTAGGTGAAAATGAAGAAGTGAGAGACATTTTTCACAATGCTTGCTATTCAGGTTAGAATCTCGGGTTAGAAACCTCAAAAGCTATTACCTGGCTGGGAGGGGGGAAATGTAGGAAGGATAGTGAAGGAAGATGATCTCATTCGTTTTTGGGAGGGTGCTGACTCTGAAAAGATATTTCAAAATAAATTAATTGGCATATTGTGAGGTTTTTTAGGGGAAAATATATTTCAAGCAGTTAAGAAACTATAGCAAGAAAATGAAAACACTTCTTTTGAAGTTATTGACAGCTCAGTAGTTAATAAAATTCTTAGAATAAAATGTCATTACTAAATGGTCAACTTTAAATGAAGCTATTCTAACTGAAAGTTTTCTATTTTTTTTTCTCACTTAATGTGAACTGAAAGAGGTGGGGGAAAATCAGTGTCGAATATTGCATATACTGTGAAACTCAGTTGATATATTGGTTAATTTTGCTGAACAACTATTTTCTCTTTTTTATGCTTGATTGTGAGGCATGGCTTCCTGGGAAAGGGAGACAGAGGGATGGGTTTATAAGGAAACATGATGTAAAAAGAAAAGATAGCAATCAGAACCAAAACACTGTTTGGAAAGAAAGTGCACTAGTAGAAGTAAAGACCCTACCTTGCTTGGTATCTGCCGTGTGGAAAGTGAAAGATGAAGATCGAGCACGCTTTCTTGAAGAGCCGGGGAGTCCTGGGAGAAATGCAATGTGAAGTAGTAAACTCAGTGAAACTTTCCTTTATAAAATTATGGCTTAGATACCAAGCATCATCTGTTTTATAAACATAGTTCAACAGTACTGTTGCTCAAGATACTTGAGGTATAATTTTAAACAGTGTAACACTGATGGCAACAGCTGGGGCATTATAAACTACAGGCACATCAAGTATGGCTACAGAATATTCATTGTGAAATCGTTTCAGCTTCATCAAAAAACAACATGATGAACTCGAAGGGAAAGGGGACAGATATCTCTGCAGGTAGTGCATTCACGACGCAGTATGGGAATAGCATTATAAAGTTGGCAGAGTCTCATATCTGCCATCTTTTCATGTACAAATGCACAGGGAAAAGAATATGATGTCAACTTTAAACACAAATGACAACACCAGAGATGCATAATTCATAAATAGGAAATAATTTGTTATTAATATGATAGAAGTGCACCAACATATTATATTTGTTCCTTTTGTATTGAGATTGTTTTAGAAGTCCAGGATATAACTTATTACCATGTTCTACTTTGTCAATAGTGTCTTCAGCTGGTCTCTGGAAAGAAACAAAGATGCCTGTGAGGTCTGGATTTTGCTTTTTCTGCTTCAGATGTGAATCTTTTCACTAAGTGGGAGAATCCCCCAAAGACAGGTACATACAGTTTAAAGTAAAGGATTAAGACAAAGCAGCTCTTTGCCCTCTTCCCCATCGCCCCCAGTTACATGAGTGACAAGTCTACAAGGTTAGGAGTTTGCGTACAGGTTTTATGCCTCCTGGATTAATTATCCAAAGAAGGACCCCACCTCCCCCCAAAAGAACAACCAAACAACAACAATAGCAAAATAGGATCATTCCTTGTTAATAACAGTGTTTCTCAAAGTAGATGATGAGTGTGATATTCAGAAAGAGGATAGCATTAAGCACCCTTTGAAATCACTGAGATGTATGTAAGAATCTTTTATCTCAGTTTAAAGGACAGTACTGAAGACATGAAGAACAAATCTAGAAATAAGTAGTACCTCTTAGCAAGAGTTTCTTAAGCAGATTTCTTTGGTAGGGAAATATACCAGCAGAGAAGGAAGGGAGATGTTGAAAGGGAAGAAAAAGATGGAGAGAGAAGAGGGAGAAAGAAGGAAAATATTTTATCAAGAGTTTACCTTAAAAGTCTGATCTCTGTTTTCAAAAACAAATACTGGCTGAGCAATAACATTTTTTTCTGGAAAATAAAAAGAATATTTAAAAAATTATACAAAATCCAAACTCTTCTTAACTGAAAACATTTAAAGAAATATTTGCATAAAATTCTCTCTATTTTCTCTCCCCTCAAAAAAGACCTCCAAAATTGTGGAATGTTAGAGCAGAAGATAAGGAAAACTAAAGTTTAGAGAGGTACAATGACTGGCCTTAATTGTCATCTGTCTAATTAGTGACAGAGTCAGCAATGAAACCCAAGTGTCTGCTGCCTGTTTTGCTAATGATCATAAAGTTACTTGTGTAATCAAGTCACATAGGACCTCTCACAGCCTCCATTTCCACAAGTGTAAAAGGGGCTATTAATAATATTTGCACTGCTCTCCTCCTCACAGAGTGGTAAAAGGACCAAAGTGGGGGTAAAGTGTGATTTCCCCAAGCAATTTTTATGTAAAACACTATAAAAACAGGATCTATTATTATTCCTTCACAATTTTATTGATAAGGCAACATGCTGTGTACAAAGTCTCAAATCTTCTCTACACTCCATTCCCCATTAATTTACAATACTATTTTTTTGTTTGATTGTTTCTATATATTAGACAGTTTCCCCTCATGTATTATTTGAGAAGCCACTCCTGATCAAACCTGGTCACTCCTGGGAGAGCTAATAGGAATTTCATTTGAATATATCTGGGAAATGTGAACCCCAGGGGCTGGTTGGAGTTTCAGGGGATTTGTAGAAGCTGAGGGTGTGTTCATGATCCTGTCCTCTGGCCAGGCAGGAAACGGAGGGATCTGGAGGGGGGAGCGCATGCCCAAGTTGAAACTAAAGCAAGAACCCAGCAGGAGGGGTGGCGCCACAGAGGCTTCCAGTTCCAGCCTGGAGGCACCAGTTTGGCATAACCCCAAGGGCCCTGGGCAAGGCAGCCCTGCCCAAGCTGCCCAGTGAGGGGGAAAGACAGTCACCCCGTTCTCCTGGACTGGATGGAACCAGGCAGGTCCAGCCTCAGGCAGAGCTGCTCAAGATGAGGTGTTGGCTAAAGTGGAACTGAGTGACTACTCCTGCAGAGGTGCCCTTGTTGCCAAATGGGTCACCTCTAATTGCTGCCAGGACTGGAATAATCTGCTCTGGCTATAGGCCTGGCATTTTCTCCTCCCTCCGTTTCCTCCCCACAATTTCTCATTTCTCTGCCTTTGTTTCTCTTCTTTCTTCAATCTTCTTTACTTTTCCTTATGTCCCATTTTTTCCTTTCAGTATAGATTTAGAACTATAAGGGAGGAGAGGTTATCCAGGAAACTAAGTCCCAGAGAAGTTTAAATAATTTGCTCAAGATTGCACACGTAGTAAGTGACACAGCCTGAATCAGAGCCTGGGTTCACTGATTCTAAATATTCTGCTGGTTCTCCTTCACCCCTCTAGTCTTAACCTGGGGGGAGGTCTCTAATTTTTTTTAATATTTTGATAACTTTCCACATAAGTGGTTTCCTTTGTAATCCTGGGTATTTTACTTCATGCATTTAAAAACATTATTCTGAAGAGTCCATAGGATTCACCAGACTACCAAACGGGTCCATAAGAGAAAAAAAAAAAGGTAAGAACCCCTGCTGTAGTGTTTAATACTCTATCCCCCTTTTTCCCCCCCTGGGTAGAGTTAGCCAGTGGAAAACTAAAAGCTGTGGCTGAGAATGCTTTGGGGTGGGGGTAATGTCATAGTCCCTCAAGATTTTCTCCCCTTTCTTCTCTTTTGTCTTTCATTTTCTTGTTCTTGTCTCCATTTTCCTTTCTTTTTTTGTCTTACACTATTTCCATCTTTCTTTCTCACCGCCATATGTCCTTTTTCTTTGCAAATATTGGAAAACTCTCAGTCTGGTGATCACCGAGCTGTGTGCTGGTATTTCCAGAATTCGTTAAAGACCAGTGTACTGTAATGGTGAGCATCACTGTTTTGGGGGGATATGTTTTAAGGAGAGGATAGTGGAGATCACATTGGGGCCTATCAATAGTTTCTTAACTTTGATAGTCTAGACTAGTTGGGATACATAAAGGATGTTCCAAAATGGTCAGAGAGTTAATGAGAAATTAGTGAATGCTTCAAACAGATCAAATATCATAGTTGGAGTTAATACAGAGTTAAGTCAAGGACCACAATGAAAACTTTGGAAGAAATGTCTAGTTATAATATCAAAAATATTGATTTTTTATAGTGAACTTGAGGATTTTTTCCTAAGGCTGTTGATTTCCTCTCTCATTTCATAAATCAATTTTATATTTCAGTGTTATATTTAAAATCTAATTTATAATTGTGGGTGGGTTGTGGGGTTTTTTTTTTGAGAGCAGGAAGAAATTTATTGAAAATATAATAGCTTGAGGGCCTTTAAATACTAGGAGCAGAGCTCATCTTATATTTCTTTGAAGTAACTATGATATTTATTTCCAGCAAAAACCTAGTCTGAGAGGAGGATTACGTCAAGTGAATTTGTCACGGTTCCATGATCAGCTAGTAGAGATTTAGAACATAAGCCTTCTTGTCTTTGTACGTGAGTGTACATACACATGCTGAGTGAAATTATTATTTTGAGCCAATAGATGACTCCCATATAGTCTCTGGCATTCCAATATCAGGCAACTCCTGAAGGGAGTTCTAGTATCAGATATTCTCACTTGCTCAGTAAAACTATGAAAGAGATGCTTGTTTTAGAGAAGCAAAGGGACAAACTATTTCTGGGGTTCTTCATAGTGAAAGAAGGGACACTTAAGGGAGTCTGGTGTTAAAGGCTGCCCATGGCCCCATTGAGGAACTACATCCTTAAGTGGCAAAACAGCAAATATACCCCAGAAACTATAATCTTTAATTCAGTCTACATGTTGAATACCAATTCTCATCACCATCTGAAACTATTTAGTGGTCTTTTAGAGTGATCAAAAGAAATCAATTCAGAAGTAAATGTCTAAGCTCCTTTATTTCTCACACTTCCTTCTCTCCTCTTTTCCTTTATGAGGTAAGGTGAGAAGAGACTAATACAATTCCTTATATGGAAGACACTGGGGCTCTTGTAAGACATGATGACAGGTAATGGAAGTGCCTGGCTCCTCAATTTGGGGCATATACTGACATTCTCTGATTGGTTCTGGTCTATTATCTACTTGGTAAGGCAACAAACTATTGATTAGGGTATGTGGAAAAAGCACTAGTTAACTAGGATCTTCCCCTCAGTTGGTCTCTCTCCTGCCCAGCTGCAGTTTGGTTGAGACAGCAATTTATGTAAGGGGAGAGGCTCTGGGCTCTTCCTATCTGAGGCTGACACACACCTCATGAAATAGGCCTCTCTGCTCTTTCCCTCTTTGCATTTGTTCAATTTTGTTTTAGGTGAAGGAGATTGGAGACGGCTATGACTTTATGAGCTACCAGAGTCTGGGAGCTAGAGCCCCAAGTGACTTGCTTGACCTAGCTCAAGAAACTGGGCTAACTTGGAGCCCTCTTTCCCCAGGGACTAAGGCAATATAGAGGAGAGTGTGCCCCTGGGTACCCAAGTTGGGTCCAAACTCAGTCAAAAGGCTGCACCTAAGGACCTAGAAGGCCATATGTGACCTTGAAGCCGCAGGTTCCCCAGCCCTGGCCTAGCCTTTTTTATGCCTAATCATGAATCCAAAATCAGGAATTCAACCAGAGCGGTAGTATTAAAACTATATGTAGGTCACAGCAAAAGTAGGTGTGGCCATGGCCATTGGATAAGACCAAGAGCTGGACTAAACTAAGTTTGGATTTGTTAAAAAATCTGTCCATGGGGTTTCTCAAATCCCACCTCTTCCTAGAAGTCCTTTTAGGACCATTTTGGTCTGATAAGACTAAATTAACCTTCATTTATCTGCTGTCTTCTGTTCACTATAGCTTCTTGTTGTTTCTCCTTGTTCTATGACATCAGGAAGGTGTTCATGTAAACTTCTTGAGGGCATCTCTCTTTCATTGTCTTTCATCTCTCTCACAGAATCAAACAATGTGGTGAGTTTAAGACTAAATGTTCAATAATTACTTATTCATTGATTGAATCTGAACCATTTAGGACAGGGGGATAAGAGCTCCTTATTCTAAGGGCATTGGCCAGACACTAAGGTCTGGGATTAACCAGAACAACGTGGGGCACATCCCAATCTCCCCAAGAAAGTAAATAATAGGGCTTGTCTCCAACACAATTTCTGCACCAAATAGAAATCTTCTGTTGGCATTCAAAGCTCTTTGCAATCTGGTCCCTCCTACCTCTTCAGTTTTCTTATACTTAACTCCTCTTTTTCTGCTCTATGGTCTGGGACCCACAGACCCTGATTTCCTTGCTATTTCTCACACAGGACACCTCCCCACTTTGCATGTTCACTGACTGTCCCCCATGCCTAAAATACTCTTCCTCCTCACCTCCATCTCCTGGCTTCCTTCAACTATTAGCTAAAATCCCACTTTCTACAAGAAACTTTTCCTGACCCCCTTCATACTAGTATCTTCCCTCTAAGGATTACCTCCTTATCTTTTATCTATCTTTTCTGTTCATAGTTGTTTACCTGTTGTTTTTCCCATTAGACTATGAGCTCCCTGATAACAGGGACTGTCTTTTGCTTTTCTTTATGACTCTAGTGCTTAGCACAATGCCTGCCACATGATGGGTATTATATAATTGCTAGCAGATGCTGCTACTGCTACTATGGTTGAGGGCATCACCATTCTTCTAGTCACCCAGGTTTACAATCTCAATATCATTCTCAACTTTTCACTGTCTCTTATTCCACATATTCAATTAGTTGCCAAAAGCTTGTCATCTTTAGCTCCATAATATCTCTAGTATCTGTCCCCTTCTCCATGTTCACACAATCCCCAACCTAGTGTTCAAATCTCTGGCCTAGACTATTAAAAAAAAGCCTCCCCATTGGTCTTCCTGACTCATGAGTCTTCTTTTTCCAATCCATCTCCTCCATATAGCTGTCAAAACGATCTTCCTAAGTCACAAATCAGACCACGTCCCTCCCTTACACAA